GAAAGAAAGAAAGAAAGAAAGAAAGAAAGAAAGAAAGAAGAAAAAAGAAAAGAAAAGAGAAAAGAAAGAGGAGGGAGGGAAGATGGAAGGAAGGAGAGAGAGAAAGAATGGAGGGAGGAGGGAGGGTGGAAGGAGGAAGGGAGGAAAGAGGAAAAGGGAGGGGGAGAGAGAAGAATGGTCTTCTAATTAAGTTCTACTCTAGTTCTCTTTAATTGTATTATTATTAATTCTAAAGTAGTCGATTTATATTTTTAGAATCAGTGATATTTGACAGAAAAATTTGACATGCATTGTGTAAATCAGTAGAGAATTTTGAACCAGGTTACTAAAAATATCTTTAACCATATTTTTAAGTTTCTGGGGAAATATTGCATATCCAGTTGAAGATGTGTGTTTTCTCCATTACAGGTAGATCCAAATAGCATTGCTGCCAAAGATGGCCGAATTCGAGAAGGGGATCGTATTTTGCAAGTATGTGGCGTAAGTCATTTCCTCTAGTTTCCTACTATTCAGTAGTTTCAATTCTATTTAGTTTTTTATAAAAAACTAGGAAAAGAATTTGTCTTTTCTAGATATTAACATTCACAAAACACGAAGCTATCAAGTAAAAATGTTTTTAAAATGAGGACGGTACCATTCATTAAGAATTATTAGCTAATAATTAGTGATTGAGGCATCATCTCTGGACTTGGCTAACTCCTCTTCAACTTCCAGCACCACCACTTACCCGAGCACGTTACTTAACCTCTCATTGTAAGCCTGTTTCCTCATCTTAAAATATAATAATAAAACGTATTGTTGCAGAGGTTAAATGTGATTATGCATGTGATATGCTTCGCACACGGCGTGGTGAGTAATAAACATTAACTTGTATTACTACCAGCAGCGGTAGCATCAGTTACTGCTGCCCTTTCCAGAATAAATTAGGTAAACACGGATTCCTGTGTTCCATTGCTATATGAAAGTCTAGAAGTCTGAAGAATTTTATTTGTTGCTGGGGACGGGTGGAGGGGAACGCCTTCTTTTCCTCATGGAAATGTGAAAACATAGAGACTATTTAAATTTCAGTTTAAAGATGATGAGCAGCTCATAAGAGGGGAGGTGGAGCTGGTAAGAATTCCAGGCCAAATTAGGAATAACCCTGAATGCCAGTTTCCGCCCTAAACCCACCTTGACCCCCTCCTTCTCCTCTGAGTCCTTTCCCATGCAGAATGGCTACAGAAAGACACACAACTCCCCACCTTTTGTGTCCAGATTAATCCAAGTTAATAACAGAGGCCTGCCAGGGTTGAGTTTCACTGCAGATCACAACTACGAAGTGGGGAAGATGACTTAAAAGCCGAAGTGAGGGAGCTATAAACTGTTAAAACATTCCACATAGCTTTTAGTCTTTGTGATAGACCTACAGTTCCCATTTCTCCTTCCTAAATGCAAACCCCTGAAGAATGTTTCTTTGCATTTGACGGGAATGGATTCAACACTGTGCCTAGAATGAAGACTTCAAAAATAGACAAGATGCCATCCCAGCATTTGGGGCACTCCAGGGGTAGTTAGGAAGACAGCTGCATACACAGATGATTATGATGCAGTGTGGCATTGTCATGATAGAAGTGTGTTCTCCCTGCCCTGGGCACATACCAGAAGGTTATTCTGCCCAGCCTTCTGTTAGTCTTTCCTTTCTTCGGGGTACAACTCACTGATTCACAGCACTTCTTCATACCCTTCCTCTTCTCTAGCTAGATGCTGCGGAACTCCTTTTCCATCAAGGACCCTCTACTAAGGCTCCAATTAGGAAAGAATAAAAGTATGAATTAGTGGTCATTCATGGTCCTACTAATTTTTCAGAAACTTCAAGAATATGTAACTTCTATTTCTATTGCTCCCTAAGTGGCGACCTGTAGTTTAACAAAATGGAATGTGTCATAGGCTATATCAGGGGAAGGGAAATCAGGTAACCAAGGCACAGTCTTGTTTGCTACCATATTTTCGATGTCTTTCTCAATCACACATGAATAAATGAATGAATGAAACATAGGTATTTAGTGGAGAAGGTAATAGGATAGATGAATCAAATCTGTAGTAAAGCTTTACTGATACAGCCTCATTAAAAAATAAGGGCACATTTTTTTGTGTGAATCACCCAGATGATGAAACCTCCAAACATATTTTATTATTATTATTTTGATTTGGAAGTAATTATAAATGTATTGTTCACCTTGTTGACATCTACAGTTGAAAATACTCAGTTGAAAAGAATGTAACCTTTTTTTTTTAAATGTTTGTTTAATTTTGAGAGAGAGCACAAGAGGGGGAGGGGCAGAGAGGGAGGGGAACAGAGGATCCAAGGAGGACTCTGTGCTTATAGCAGAGAGCCCAATGCAGAGCTTGAAGTCAGAAACCAAACTGTGAGATCATAACCCTGAGCCAAAGTCAGATGCTCAACTGACTGAGCCACCCAGCTGCTCCAAAAAGAATGTAACCTTCTTTTGATGCTCAAGGGTCTGTTGTGCCCAGCAATCATTGCACAATGCAAGAATACAACAAAAGACTCAGTGGCTAAGAGGTCTGGAAGATTTTGTGCACCAATATAAAATCACCATAGTTGGCTACGTTTTCTGATGTGTTGGGTCTATTTTTTGTCATGTTTCTCTTGTTTCCAGTCATCACTCCTTTCTCTGACCATCTACTCTCCACATTTGACACCTTGTACTGCACCCTCACTGGCTCCCTTCCTAATGCAGCTAACCACTGCCCCATAAGGTAGATATACAAATGCAGTTATTAAAATTGCATCTATTAGTTCTCAGAGTAGAGGTAGATCAAAATAAAGTACATGTGTTTTCATATGTGCATACTATATATTTTGACATTTCCTTATTCGTGGCTATATTAGAGGCAGATAAAGTTTTCCGATACAATATTTGCAGGATAATAAGGCATTCCTTAATGGAGTGGGTTCACTGAAGAAACAACAGCAGGATTGACAAAATTCCGTTGTCTGCCTGATTACTTTATATTCAGTGACAAATATGTCACACTTAATGAACAAATACATGTCACATTAAAAAGCCTAGAATTCAAGTCTATTTGCACACACAGAAAACAAAGAGTCTTAAGGGTAATGCTGAAATTATATTAAATAAAACTGTGACAAAATTGTACCCATAGACAAATAGCTCCCATAAGGTTGATGAGGAGATTATGGGATACCCTGTAATGAGCAATTAATGACTCCTGTCTCAGGGAGATGAGAGGGAGAGAACGAGAGGATTTACTTCTTATCCTTGGAGTTTCCTGGCTGGCTTTTATTTAAATGAATCTCTTTAGGGCAATTGTGGTTTTAATTTCCTGTTCATGATGACCTAAGTAGAGTATTTCTATGGTCTGGTCCTCATTGTGAAACTAAAATTTTCTAAATGTACTGTATCATGGGACCTCACCCAGTGGCACCACCCACACAGATACATCGGATTGGCCCAAGGTAGGGATTATACAGAAGAAAAACCATCAACCACTTTCATGAGAGCATGTTCTAGATCTCATGTGTTTTTCTTCTGCAAGCCATCAAGTGTTCTGTCTTCCATGCCATCGCCACACACTTGTGGTATCAGATGTGTCCTCAGGAATTAATATGGGGAAGTCCTCTCACAAAATTGCAATGCTGAGTGAAGACAAGCATTTCTGAGCCCCAGAGAGAAAAGATTAAAGACAACATACGTGATCAGAGTGCTGTATTCTCATTTTCTCCTTGGGATGGTGAGCGTAGCAATATTGCATGTCGCAGCCTGATCTCATGTTGGCCAAAAACGTCAGCCATGTTCCTAAGGATTACTCTGACAAAATCCTGCAAAAAACTCAAGCAGTGGAACAATAAGACTTCAGATGAGCTTTCTCTCTCTTTCTCTGCCCTACACCTAAACTTATTTCCAGCATTTGTTCCTACTTTTTTCCTTTCTTCCCCTTAGATAACTGCCCCCCCACTTCTGTTCTTTCCACTTCTATATCTCTGTACATTATTCACCTTCTTTCCATACTAAAATATAAGCTCACTTGAAATAGATCATTCCTCTTTTGCCTTAGATCCTGGGTTTTCAAATACATTCCATAGGTGGTGCCAAGAATTTTAGTTGCCCACCCACCTCTGGTACTTGCTAATATAGGTAACGTAAAATTTGGCACATTCAAGCAAAAAAGCTATATTAAACCATCTCTAGGCTTTTAGGGTTTTGCACACATGTGCACATACACACACACACTCACGCACATACAGCAGATTGGGCCCAATGTGAGATTTTGGCTGATTTGTAATACCATGAAACTCTTCTAAGCCAAGGCAATATCTGCTTTGAAGTCAATGTTTACATATGCCCAGACACAGATAATAAGACAAGACCTATTTTCTAGCACAAATTTTTCTCCTTGTAACAAAAGGTACATGTTGCCTTTCTCCTGGTTCTCTTTCCCTCTCTTTTCTTAAAATTAAAGTCTTCCATTAAACTGTGGTGTCACACTGACACATCTATCTCATCTCCTCCCTGTGATTCTCGGTCCTTCACCTTTATGTCTGCTTGGTGTTGTCATGCACAGCAAACTGCCTTCCCGCGAGCAGCCCTGTAGCCACAAGCCATCCTTCAGGAACAAAAGCAAATGAAGGTTGAAAGCTCTATCTGATTCCATTCCTCAAATCTTTTCATTCTTTGCTGAAACCCATGGCTGCATTTCTTGCCCCAATATCAGTCTGGGTGTCAAACTCATGTCCTGAGTTCAATAGGATCTACCAACCGGTGGGCTAAAGACACAGTTTTGAAAGAGGAACGATAAATTACATTTTAACACCAGATTTCTATGGTGAATTCATTTCATTCCACCCATGATTCTGGGTGTAAATGTGTTTCTACAACATGGGATCTGTCCTTTCAGGACAAGGCATAGTGTGAGGACTGGAGACCATAGCTCTGGTCATGCTGAGTTCACAGAGGAGACAGATGAGTACCAACTGTAATGGGGCTGAAAATCTAAAACAACCACATTGTTTCTTGATGGTTCTCGAAGAGTTAGAAATACATATGAGATAGATGTATAGAGTACTAAACCACCTTTACTACTATGGACTTAATTATTGTGCATGAATTTTAATATATTTGCACTGTTTAGAAGAAAACAATCTTTCCTGTATGGAGGATTGAAATATAGACATCAATGATGTTATAGTAGTAATAATAATAATACTAGCAAGAACAGTAACATCAATAGCACTACGTGGCAACCTAGAGCACTTCCTGTTTACCAGGCACTTGTTTCAACCCTAGACATGTATTGACTCATTTAATCCTTACAAGAACACTCTGAGGAAGGCACTAGTATCTGCACTTTCATATAGGGACCATCATAGTAACATCAAATAAACATGAATAAAGAGTATTTAGGATAGTAGTAAATGAACTTCACATGCAGAATTTAGATGTATATACTTGAGCAAATAAAAGTAATGAGAATTAGATTTCAAACAGAAAAGGTGAAGAGAAGCTGTGGGAGAACATCCACCTCCATCTTCCTAGGAGCAAACATGCCAACAGTGGAGGGAAGATGAATGATTAGGTCCGTGATTAATACACAAATAGATGCATTGCAGACACAGTGTTAAGAATTACTATGAAATGGATGTAAACCCCCAAAGCTCAAAGAAAGTAAACATTTTCAAGTCCTTATTTTCAGACTACACCGAATTGGGGAGGGGGGAGGTGTAGTGGAATCCATCACTGCCAATTTATCTTCATTTGAGAAAAAGCCTTGGATTCAGTACAAAAATAGCTTTTCAGATGTATATTTATGAAAAACCACAAAATACCCTTTCCTATCATTAGTTACCATTTTGGAATCCTAGCTTCTGTTTTCTAATTTGATGAGTTTTATTGTGAGTTGCCAAAAAAAAGGAAATGCGCTTGAAACTTGTAAAAGCTGAATTTCCTATCCACATTTACAAGTGAAAAACAAAGGTGATAGGCATTTGATCAGAGTAAGAAAATACAACATATGGTTGTATGATTCCGCCCCCCCAGACTCTTACTTATTTTCTGCTTTCTTTGTGTTCAGTATGTATGATAAGAGTCCAGGAATAAGAGTAATTTACTGTGGTCCAAAGTTGAGATTCCTGGGCTTCGATAATTATATGTCCTTGTGTATCAGCCAGAATCCCAGAATCATCCAGAATCCCAGAATCCCAGAAACGAGGAGAAAATTCTCACTAGTCTACTTCATGCTTTTCAGCAGAAATCCGTAGTGAAAAATGTTACTTATTGAAAAATTAGTACAGCCACATTTTCTATTTAATTTACTGAAATAATTAATACTTATTTTAGATAGAATTACTTGACCTCTTCAACTAAAATTTCTTTCTGCATATTTTGATTATGTGCTATGGATCAAAAAATCTCATTGTCTCCATGGATTTGAACAATCAATAAAATAAAATAAATATAAAATATCCGAAGAAAGTCCAGTTAACTTGGAACTAAATACATTTGAACGTGAAAATGTAGCTTACCATACAAACTTCAGGAATCTTATTTGCTGTGTCTGTAGAACTTAGAAAAAGGAAAAATATATGTGTGTGTGTGTGTATCTATATATATCTATATATATAGATATATTGAATTCCACTGGAGTCTTTTTAATCCAAAGTTTACTCAAGCTTGGTTTCTTTCAAAAAGCCATTTTTACTCTGTATTAATTTTTAAAAAGTTAAGTATACTTAAGAGATGAGCCTTAAGAGATTTCATTAGTTTTGTTGTTTGAGGAAATGGATGAATCTTAGAAAGAGCTGGAGTGTTGATGAGGATGTTACCGATGCACTGTTCCTTGTTTTGATTATTTAAGCAATTGAAAGAGATCCTGAGAGTGATTTGGGGTAACTGAGTCAGACCCACACAAATATGAGATGATTAAATGAAAATGCAATCAGCAGTGGCCTGGGAGCATTGCCTGGTGAGAGATAATACTGTAGCTCTCTAATTGGCTCATAGCAGGCATGCAGGATGACGGATTTCAGTTGTGGTATTGCCAGTCCTGCTTCCCCCAGCACTATTATCTCAGAGTGACACTTCCATTACTCTGAGCGGAGAAAGATGAACGTCACCTGTCAGGGGCTGGTTAATTGTGTTGCTAGATGTATGTTGCCAGGGCGCAGGTTGGACATTTATGAACATAACTGCTTCCTCTGATGTCCGCCATCCTTCAGGGATCGATATGGCTCTTACAGTAAGCGCGTAATTGAGTGAAGGCACTTACCACTGAGGGGCTGGAGATGAGCCCATTGTGTGAGCTTCATTGTCCATACGTTCACCATAAATGAGCTGATATTTGCCATTTATTGTGTGCAGCATTGTGGAAATGGAAACTAATGTGCCACTTTCATTTGTTTTCTAGATAAATGGGGAAGACGTCCAGAATCGAGAAGAGGCAGTGGCGTTGCTGTCGAGCGAGGAGTGTAAGAGAATCGTGTTGCTCGTCGCAAGGCCAGAGACTCAGGTCAGAACACAGATCCAAAATCTGGAGACTGAACTTCACATCCATTGTTTGCTCATCTGTATCAAATCAGTACTGTGTTTATTTGTAAAGCTGAGTACACAAGACATAATTAAGAGTCACCTTACCTAACCTACCAACCTGATCAACCTTATCTTTTTGAAAAAAGAAGGGAAAAAACATACAAAATGGAATCATTATTCTCTCCTTCCACTTGCCAGTTATTTGAATGAATTCATAAATGAAAAATGGTTGACGGTATGATTTTTAATCCTGTATGGATCCTTGCTCTAGGTTTCTATCTAAAAATATTTAATTGGCATATTAAGGTATCTTGAAGGAATCTTTAATGAGAGAATCATTAGCGTATCTAGCTATCAACTTAAATCTTTTTAGGACAACTTTATCAAATAAAGTGGCCAACATAGCATGGTGTAGTTCCATGTATAGTAAATGAATTTTTTCCAAGTTTAGGGTGACAGAAACATCTGTCTGGCCAAAACCAAGATGATAGCTTCTAGGGAAATTGCTTTTTATATCTTTACAGAGGGCGATGTCATGACGGTCAAGGAGAGGTAATATGGTGAAAGAAAAGTGCTGTTGGTCCTTCTTTTTATATTCTTTTTATACCCTGCCACAATGCAGAAAAGGATAGCACATCATCACCCTTCTGTCCATCTGTCAGTAGTTTGAGTGAAGTTGGTTATATCACCATTTGTCTCCCAGGCTATTGATCTGATATTTCTCAAACTCAGTAACTACATACTATCTATAAATTACATTGAGTAGGTGTATTTCAGTGTCAGACCAAATCCTGACTTGAATATAGTGGTTATAAAAGATCACCCTTTCGGCATATATTTCCTTTATGCCCTTGACCATTCTAAATGGTTCCCATAAAGCCTGCTATTGCCCAAGGCAGAGTAAAGTTACACACCTGAGGTGTCAGGAGTGGGGAAGGGAGCCTACACGACTGTGACACGACTGGCTGGACTGCCTATTTGGGAGTAAATTGAAAAATATGTATGAAATGTCACTAATTACCTGGAAATTTGGCAACCCAGTTAGTCTCACTGATCCCGTTTTCTTGAAAAAGAACAGAATAAAGGGATTAAACACATGTTAGTTAAATTCATGGTAAATTGAAGAGAACAGAGTAGTTATCCCTGTTATAGAAAAGATATTTTAATGTTTTAATGTGGGTTCCCTGCGCTTTCCATGTAACTGCTAGAGCACCTCATTAATTTAGAATTGAAGCATTTCCTTAAACCATGCCACAGAATGGCTATAATGGACTGTGGAAAGAATAGAAATTAATGACATAAGACTAGATCTATCGTTGATAGAATACATATGCTTGCTAGAACCGGTGGTATTTTCAAATATCTGGCTACACTCCTGATCCAGCAGGATCAATGTTGGAGGATGAATTTTCAAAGGAGACTTCCTTTCCACTGTTGAGGGGAAGATAACCGTCCTGCCAAAATCGGGATCTGCTTTAGCCCCTCGATCCTAAAGAAACCTCATGCCACTGGAAGAAAGCTGATTGCCTTTAGAAAATCAGATTTCTATAAAAATAAGGAAAGAAAATGCATTTTAACACCAAATTTTTTAAAATGCAATTTAGGCAGTACATGCTATAAAATGGAAGAAAAAAGAAGACCAAAAAAAAAAAAAAACATAAACTTGCCTTTATATCACCTATATTTTTTAATCAATTTCAGTATATCTTATTATTGCATTTTTGGCATATGAATTTTATCGCAAGAGAATGTGGAAGTTTTTTGTGTGCTTTCTCTAGGCTTTTTCTTTTTTTAATGTTTCAAATACTCTCTGCATTCTTGGAAATGATCTACAGATTTGCTGGGAGCAATATGGTACATCTGTGCAATATTTTTAAATAACTCATTTCTTTCATTCCCTGTCAACTTTCTTTCATTTTCTGCCCATTTTCCTCCTCAGACCATTAAAGATATTGCTATTCTGTCCTATTCCCCTTGGGACATTGGGACAGAGAGGGCTCCATAGGAACTTGTAAACACTACTTTTGAGACAATACAGGTTGTTCTTTTCCCTGAAATGCCATGTGTGTTCCATACTGTGCACACAGATCCCCCTGTTTCATAATAAGAGCCCTCCCTTCTCGCAGCTCGGCTCAAGGGAAAGGTCTGTCTGTGGCGTAGCCTGAAACTCAGACTGTCATGAATGCACATAGGTAGAAAGGGAGATACAACAGGGAAAGGAAGTGAGCAAGAAGGATCTCTCCTTACTTACTCTGCTGTGTATACTTCCAGCCTAGAGGAAAGACTTATCAGAGCAGACATACACTGACTACGGATGACAACTCAAGGATCTGTGGAATTAGTTAATAAGAAAAGAGTTATAGGGAATCATTAATTTCTACTGTTTGTTCTTCTTATCTTTCCCACCCCTTCATTTAAATTTCAGAAGACTCTATTCCATCATTCACTACTTCAGAGTAAGCAAATATTTTGTTTTGACCTGATTAAAGAAAAATCCCTTGGTGTGCTTATGAAAAGGAAACATTTCTAGCTTTACGTCATTTCTTTTGGAGTCTAGAGTTTGCAGCTTCATGAAACTTAAAACGGATTAGAGAATGTAAAGCTTGGACAATTATAAATTGAAATGGAATTGTTAGTCAGCTTAATTTTCACAGTTCATCTGCATATCAAAGCCAGTGGGGTAGAACTTGCTCAAGTTATTGAGGCTACATGAAGATAAATGAGGATGAATAAATGTGTCAACACTTTTCGCCCCAGTCAAATCTGAGGTAATTTAAGTTCTAGGTAGCCTTTAATACATATCAAGAAACCTATAACTGCCTTCATATTGGTGAATATGACACATATATGCTAATGCCTCTCCAGGTGCAACCGGATGTCCTTCTTTCAGAATTTGTTTTGTCTCGAAGTTTTATCATCTCAGTTATCTTTAAGAGCTTACTTTGCCATTTTTCAGGGATGAAAACACCTCAAACTAGAGCTGACCCTTGAATAATGCAGGGATCAGGAGAGCCAACACTCCCCACCCAGTCGAAATTCACATGTAGCTTCTGACTCCCCAAGACTAATACACTGATAGCCTAATGTTGATTGGAAGCCTTAAAATAACATAAACAGTCAATTAACACTTATTTTATATGTTACATGTATTATATACTATTCTTACAATCAAGTAAGCTAGAGAAAAGAAAATATTACTAAGAAAAGCATAAGGAAGAGAAGATAGATTTAGATTACTGTAGTGTATTTATCAAAAAATAAATGCACATGTAAGTGGACCTATGAAGTTCAAACCCCTACTGTTCAAGGATCAACTGTATTGTCAGTTTTGGCTCATTAGAAAGCTGCTGTTTCTTTTAACACAGAGTAAAACAGAGCATGGACAATAATTCAGGTAATTTAATCATCATAGACAGCTAATTTATGTAATCCAGCTCCAGAAATCTGCTTTGAGGCAAATTATCTGTATTGACTGTCAACACTCATCATATTAGCAAGGTTTTTCACTTCACTTGTTATTGAGAAGCCAACAGGATTTATTCAGTTTAATTTGTGTAAGACTCCCACCAGAATACCTGCATCCTGGACCCACAAACAAAACCCTGCGTGCTCCACACTGCTCCATTCCCATTAAATGCACAATTTCAGATACATACACACACACACACACACACACACACACACACACACGTGTGTGTGTGTGTGTGTGTGTGTGTGTGTGTGTATCTATATTTTGCAATTGGTGTGAAAAATGAATCAAAATAGACATGGATAGCATCACCTTTTTTTACGAGAAGAATAACTTAGAATTTTTCTCGTCCTCCCCCTAGATAAAGTAAATGTCTGTATTTGTGGCAAGCAGCCATCTTGTTGACTTGGAAGCCATCTGCCTAAAAATAAAAAGGCAGGATGAGGGTAGGAGCATCAGTGTGTATGGGGGGTGGGGAACACTGTGTGTGTCATCTCATTGAAGGTTGTTGTTAAGGAAAAAAGCCCAATTGTCTCATGGCCCTATTAGTACCACTGCAGTTCTTTAACACAGGGACTGTTGGAGGTAATGAGCGTGACAGCTGTGGATTATGCAATATGCTTTTCATACATTTTGAAAGATGGTAATGTTCTATTCTGTGAGATCTACTTGGCTATGAGAGAAACTCTGTAGCTCTGTTTCAGGAAAGGATAAAAGGCATATGAGTCCAATTTTTTTTTTTTTAATCACTTTTTCCTCCTTCTGAGAGGTGAACTATCAGAGGCTGATATTCTGAAGAGAATCATTATGATAAAAGGAACTGGTCAGGCATTGCCATTTAAGTTTACCCTATTTTAGCATGAGTTCCCACTAACCTAATATAATGTATTAATGTGTTCTTTTGCAGCTGGATGAAGGCTGGCTGGAAGATGAAAGGAATGAATTCTTAGAGGAGTTAAACTTGGAGATGCTGGAAGAACAGCATAATGAAGCAATGCAGGGCACGGCCAATGAGGTGGAGCAGGTAGGGCCAAAATTTGAACGACGTCATTTGAAATGTGGTTAAGTGGGTTTTCTTTTAATGGATAATCATAAATGGAGTAAAAAACTAAATCAAAGAGTTTGATCAAACACCTCTGTAATGGTAATTTTTTAGATGGGCATCTCAAATGAAGCAGAAGGAATAAATACATTTTTTTTTCTGTTGAGATCTTTCTAGCTTGGAAAGCTTTGGGACCATTGTTGACAGAGTCTGGTATTACTCAAACATTGACCCAGGTACTATTCAACCCAATTCTGAAATTTAATAGCAAAAATATACCTTGTTTTTCGATATGCCAGCTGGAGACAAGCTTTATCTCATGCGATAACCTCTCCTCCCAAAGTTAACTTTACAATTTAAAATATAAATGTGTCTCTTTGAATATTTAGGCAACTATAGCATGATGGTGACATGATGTAAGCCATCAATCTGATTTATGGTTTTGGTATCACGGTTCCACGTATATACTCCTGAAGAGGAGTAGCCTTATTTGAGATCATTGACATTATCTTGCCTTAGGGTCACATAATCATTCAACCAAAAATGCTGAGCTCCTAATATGTTCCAAGTACCACACTTGATTCTGAGAATACAAGGAAAATGAACAAAGTTTCTGCTCTTAATTAATTCATTGCTGGTGAAAGGTTACAGAGGGGCTTGTGGCAAACCGAGTTTGGGGATTCTTTTGTGATCGTTGTTGTTCCTATTGGATAAAGACAAGATCAGTATATCCTAGATCTTTTAAAATATATCCTAGATTTATTGTGTGTTGAATCCGTGTCATTCATCTGCCTGATACAGCTTTATTAACACTTCTGATGTCAGTTTATTGATTTAATTATCATCCTATTCTCAATGTTAATTCTTAACACATTCTAAGAGATAGTTTTTTTAAAAATCCTGGACAGTTAGGCTTAGGGACATGAAACACAAACATCCTATCGCTTTACGAAGTGAATGATGGAATTTATTGACATGCTAGCATTTCATAACAGAGACGTATGTGCACGTGTCTGTGTGCACATGCCCATATATTAAATAAATCGTTATATTGCAGACTACGGTCTCAACATAGCTGCGTGTGCAATGCTCATTGGCCACTTCACAAACAGTAGCTCATGCTCAAAAGTGATGCTGCTACTGTGGTGATTGCTTTTCAATGTAGGCAGGACAGATTGAAATTTTTATGTATGACTTCAACGCTGGCCACAGATAAAGATATTTTTTGGCGGCAGCTTCTGGTTACAAGCAAGAAAGTCCTTGCTCCAGGCTTTTTCTCTCTTAGATACAAAATGTGACCGGATACAAAATTGACAGGAGGATGTTGGAATAAAGAAAGAAGGGAGAAATCCTGTCCAGGTGAAGCAATAGGGTGTCAAATGCTGCCTACTCATCAGACGTAATACAAATGCTAGGTCGTTGGAGGTAACACTAGACATCCCTGAGGTTAGATTCTCATTGTGTGGAAATTTTTCTTCACTGTGAGACTGAAAAATGATAAGAAGTACAGAAACCTTTAAAGGTCCTTTGCCCTTATAAACAATAATACTACATTAGAAATGTCTTGGTAGAAGCATTGCCTGTCACCATAATAATTCCATAGGGAAATGATAAACGATAGAGTGGCATTACATTAGAAACTAGGAATTCTAGGTTTGAGAATGGAAAACCCTTTTTATTTTCACATTGTCTCATAAACCAGTGACTAAAGAAAGGCAAATTCAATAAAAAAATAAAATAAAAATGTGTATTCATACTACAAAACTTAAATACACATACGCATTAAAACATTCTTTTGACGCACTATCCTTGGTCTTACGGCTGCTGTTGACACATTGCGGAACATCGCTCTTGGCATAATTTGTCTATATCCTTTGCACTCTATATAAAAATAAGATAAAGAGGGGCACATGGGTGGCTGGGTCAAGTAAGCGTCAGACTCTTGGTTTTGGCTCAGGTTGTGATCTCACGGTTCTTGAGATAGAACCCCACATCTGGCTCTGTGCTGATAGAGTGGATGGAGCCTGCTTGGGATTCTCTATCTCCGTCTCTCTCTGCTCCTCCCCTGCTCTCGCTCCTCGAAAACAAATAAACAAAAAAATAAGATAAAGAAATACTACCCCTTTTGTATTTTTAAGCCAATCAAAGATATGAAAAAATAAATGTAAATAATATAGTATATAACCTAAAATGTCCAGTATCCATAACATCCACTGGGGGTTTTATGGCACAGCCTGTTGATGTCACCACATTGGATACTATTGTCAGCTTGATTCGAGGAACATACGGATGTACCAAGCACTCAATTACTTATTTATAACATTATGTTTCGTTTGTTTTTTTATCGATAAGGCATTTAAAATCTCAGTATGTTTTCAACAACTGAGGAAAAATATTTTAGGGAAGGCTGAGAATCCTAGAATAACATGATACATGGTCATGTGCTCTCCTTTACGGCTGATGTTACGTTTTGTTCTGCCATAACTTCTGTGGAAGAAAAATATAACAATTTTCTTGAGGGACCTTTCAAACCTGTGTTAGAATACCTTTTCTCATGCATTCTGTCCTTCTTTAACACTAACAGGCTTAATTATATTGAATTGTATAATTATACCTACTAGACGAAATATACATATAAGATAGTGAGTGGACTTACACATAAAGAAAATACAATGTAGAAACTGCCATGTAGACTTGTATGTGATGAGTGACGGAGAGAACAATAACTTTACCCTGGTCACAGAGAAAGAACTACATATGCATCCTCTTAGGGCAGTAACAGTTAATTGTTCTGCATGAAAGCCAAAAACTACCAAGGAATAAAGTTTACCTACAAGTGTGTATTCACATTTATGTCAAAAATACACTTTTTGACATTAAGTCCACATCTGGCAATCAGTGCTGCTCTGATTTTCATGAGAACTGTCACCCTCAGCAGAATAAAATTCACCTTTAAGGGATATTAGTGGCTGAGAGTAGAAAAATATTTTTTACGTAACCCAAATGAGTCTTAAGATGACATTGTTGCTCTTGAGCAGTGTGATTTGGAGATGCACTAAGGTCTGGGCACATGTATCGGAAAATATGACATCCTAGACATAGAAGAAATCCTGACTCCGGGGGATAGCACTGGCCTTTTCCACCTCTCTGTGTCACTAATAAGCTGAATACCTTTGGGATTAAAGTTCCTCATCGATGGAAGGTCCGAGGCTCTAGTACTAACCTATTCCTGAAATACTGTGCTATTTAGCTTACCATTACCAGTGTATTACTACATCAGTGAAGTTTCTTCTGAACTTAAAGTTCAGGAAAAAATCATCATAATAAGATGATGCAGCTTCAGAACTCCAGGCCTCCATTCTGCAGAAGACCATTTAGACTACCTGTCTCGCTCATCCTTTCGTGTGTTACCATCTCAGAGACTCCTAAAGGCACCTCATTTACACACGTGCATGCCATTTTCTCAAGTAAGAGAAATCCTTAAGATAAGGATCAAGTATTTAAATGTGTCCTGTTTTATTTATCACCAAGTCAGGTATGACAGGCATATCCAAGCAGCTTTGGTTTTCTTTATTTCAATTCATAAAAAGCTGCCTTGAGCTAATGGCCTTTGTTTCTAAAATTGTTATGGATGCTAAAATTAGAACAGCTTTCTAGGAACCACACTTTTGCCAAGAAGCATCATTCTTTTTTTTTTAAACTTGTTTTATTTTTTATTGTTTAAATTTACATCCAAATTAACATACAGTGCAACAATGGTTTCATTGTTAGTGCCCCTTACCCATTTAGCCCATCCCCCCTCCCCCAACCCCTCCCGTAACCCTCAGTTTGTTCTCCATATTTATGAGTCTCTTCTGTTTTGTCCCCCTCCCTATTTTTATATTATTTTTGTTTCCCTTCCCTTATGTTCATGTTTTGTCTCTTAAACTCCTCATATGAGTGCAGTCATATGATTTTTGTCTTTCTCTGACTAATTTCACTTAGCATAATACCCTCCAGTTCCATCCATGTAGTTGCAAATGGCAAGACCTCATTCTTTTTAATTGCCAAGTAATACTCCATTGTATATGTATATATACATCACCTATTCTTTATCCATTCATCCATCGATGGACATTTGGGCTCTTTCCACACTTTGGCTATTGTTGATAGTGCTGCTATATACATGGGGGTGCATGTGTCCCTTCGAAACAGCACACCTGTATCCCTTGGATAAATGCCCAGTAGTGCAATTGCTGGGTCGTAGGGTAGTTCTATTTTTAGTTTTTTGAGGAACCTCCATACTGTTTTCCAGAGTGGCTGCACCAGCTTGCATTCCCACCCACAGCAAAAGAGATCCTCTTTCTCTGCATCCTCGCCAACCTCTGTTGTTACCGGAGTTGTTCATGTTAGCCATTCGGAGAGGTATAAGGTGGCATCTCATTGTGGTTTTGATTTGTATTTCCCTGATGATGAGTGAAGTTCAGCATTTTTTCATGTGTCAGTTGGCCATCTGGATGTCTTCTTTGGAGAAGTGTCTATTCATGTCTTTTGCCTATTTCAAGAAGCATCATTCTTTCGAGTTTGTCCACAATCAGTGTTTCTCAAGATAATTAATTTTCTTTGTTCTCTCAACTTGGTTTTCTTAGCCAAAAAAACAAGAAGAAGAAGAGGGCACAACAGATACGGCAACGTCCTCCTCTAACAACCACGAGAAAGACAGTGGGGTGGGGCGCACAGATGAAAGCTTGCGGAACGATGAGAGCTCAGAGCAGGAGAACGCAGCGGAGGATCCCAACGGCGCATCCCTGAAGAGCAGGAGAGAGCTGGGGCAGAGCCAAGACACTCTAGGAAGCGTTGAACTTCAGTGCAATGAGAGCTTCGCGTCTGGTGAATACATAGACTCAGACTGCATTGGCAACCCAGATGAGGAATGTGAAAGATTCCGACAGCTCTTGGAGCTCAAATGCAAGATTCGAAACCATGGAGAATATGACCTGTATTACTCGAGCAGCACAATAGAATGCCATCAAGGGGAACAAGAGGGAGTGGAGCACGAACTACAGTTGCTTAACGAAGAACTGAGAAACATTGAACTGGAGTGCCAGAATATCATGCAGGCTCACAGGCTCCAGAAAGTGACAGACCAGTATGGAGACATCTGGGCTTTGCACGATGGAGGATTCCGGAATTACAACACCAGCATAGACATGCAAAGGGGAAAGCTAGATGACATCATCGAACATCCAGAAAAGTCAGACAAGGACAGTTCTAGCGCTTACAACACAGCTGAAAGCTGCAGAAGCACTCCACTCACTGTGGACCGTTCCCCTGACAGTTCCCTTCCAAGAATGATCAACCTCACCAATAAGAAAAACCTGAGAAGCACAATGGCCGCCAATCAGTCTTCTTCCGGGCTGAGCAGTAAAGAGTCGACCTCCCCCAAAGCCAAAAGCACTGAACCAGGTTGCAGCATTGAAGGCAAGGAGAAGATTTCAGAGAGCGGCAAGCTTTCTGATCAGGAGCAAACCAGCAGCGAACACATCCCTTACCTCTCCCCTTACCACAGCTCCTCCTACAGATACGCAAATATCCCGGCACATGCCCGCCATTATCAAAGCTACATGCAGTTGATTCAACAGAAATCTGCAGTGGAGTATGCGCAGAGTCAGCTGAGTTTAGTGAGCATGTGCAAGGAGTCTCAGAAGTGTTCAGAGCCCAAGATGGAATGGAAGGTGAAAATTAGGAGCGACGGGACGCGGTACATAACAAAGAGACCAGTACGAGACCGGATTCTGAGGGAACGTGCCTTAAAGATCAAGGAGGAGCGCAGTGGCATGACGACGGATGACGACACCATGAGCGAGATGAAAATGGGCCGCTACTGGAGCAAAGAGGAAAGAAAGCAACACCTGGTTCGGGCCAAGGAGCAGCGTCGGCGCCGGGAGTTCATGATGCGGAGCCGGTTGGAGTGTCTCAAGGAGAGCCCCCAGAGCGGCAGCGAGGGCAGAAAGGAGATCAACATCATTGAACTGAGCCACAAAAAGATGATGAAAAAAAGAAACAAGAAAATTTTGGACAACTGGATGACAATCCAAGAACTGATGACCCACGGGGCCAAGTCTCCTGATGGCACACGAGTTCATAATGCCTTTTTGTCAGTCACCACCGTATGACCGAATGAACAGCGATGCAACTGATGTTAGGAGGGCGCTACCAGTTTGGGTAGAGTATGATTGCCTCGTTCAATGCGGCGTTTTTATATATATTTTGCGACTCTTTATAGTTTAAAGTTTTTGTAAGCAAAAATACCTGGTAATTTTTCATTTGTTTTTCATATACTAGTACCTTCTTTTTTGGCTGAGATCTTTCTTTAACTTGTGATATATTCATATTACTCATTTATATATATTAAAAAAAACAAACACAAGGAAAGAAAACAAAAAACTTGAACAAAAATACTGAGGAGCCAATTAATTTCCTACTTTAATGTATCTATTGTAAGTTAAGATCTGGATTTATTTCTCTAGTTTACTTATTTTCTACTCTAATAACAACTCAATGCCAAAACATTTCTATGCTTGCTTCTTGGCATAATACGTATGAAATCAAACCTGTTAATAAATCATGTGCCACATCTTGTCTTACGCATAAAAACCACCTCTTTTTAACATCCCGTTGTACATTAACACATCAATGGCCGTTGTCTTTGTCTCAGTAAAGTGTAAGTGGACAATCTTCCTGTGGTATGTAGTGACATTGGTCATGTAGCTAGATAATTGTGGTAATTGTGACAATAAAAAATAAATTATTGATTATCCTTAAGAAAAGCTATCAAGGGGTGTTTTATTTTCATTGTTCACTGTGGTTACCAGATTTAAATTAGTCATATATGTATACTATTTAGAAGAGTCCTAATTGTGGATTATAAAATGTGTACATTTTCTATCACTTTCTTTTCCAATAAAATTGTCTCGAAATACTTCCCATAGATCATTGTGTCACATATTCTTACCAGGATTAAATTAGATAATATATGTCAACCATCTAACAGACGCTAACTAAACATCCAGTAAATATGAGGTTATCTCCTTTTGTCTGCTACCCAGTAAGGTGAAGCCAGGAAAAATTCAGGGAAGGACCTGGAGAGAGGATCGGTGAAGTGTCTGAAAATGTTTATAATGACACTAAATGTATTAGCTTGGGATAATAAATAGTAATTAATAATAATAAATAAAAATAGTCAGCTTTGGCCATAACGAAATGCCATAGACTGGCTAGCCTCAACAACAGGAATGTATTTCTCACAGCTCTGGAGGATGTGAAGTCCAAGTGCTGGCAGATTCAGCAACTAGGTGAGGGCCCTGTTGCAGCTCGCAGACGGCCACCCTCTCCCTCTGTCTTCAGGCGGTGTAGAGAAAGGAAGGAAAGCTGTCTGCTGTCTCTTCTGATAAGGGCACTGGATCCCTCATAGGAGCTCTACCCTCATGACTTCATCTAAACCAAAGGTCCCATCTCCAAATACCATCACCTTGGAGGTTAGAACTTCAAAATATGGATTTTAGGGTGACACAACTCACCCCATAGCACTATGTGCATTTATTTAGCCTATCATTTGGGAATAAATTGGGGGGAATCATCTTTTTAATAATTGTGAGCATAGTCAACTATAAATGCCTTATATGCCAGTTTAAAATGAGATTGCCAAATTATCAGATAGGTTATTTAAATCTAGATTTTCATCATAAAAACCATCTATGTGTCACTCACGATACCTCCAGAGTAAAGGCCAGAATGACCATGTATATGCAAACTGAGTTTGATCAAATTTTCATTCAACCCAAGAGATTATTGGAGACACACAGTAGAGACACAACATCTGAAAAATTCTGAAGTTACTTTCCTGTTTAAAAACTGACAGTTTCAGCTCTTGAATCAGACTCTGATGCCCTGCTTTATATTCCAGGCCCTCATTCACTTGCCCACTTTGCCTGTTGCTCCTTTTTAGATCTTCTCTGAGTTGATTTCCTGGCTTCCCATTTCCACTCCAGTTATCTTATGCTGTTCTCCTGTCTGGAGTGTCTGTGCCCAATTCTACACCTCCCTGAGCGTATAATCACATGTACATTTTCTCTTTGGAACCCATTTTGATGACACCAGACTCTCAGCATTTTGGCATACACTAGGATGCACCTGCAGCATTGTTTTACCTTCCTTTTTTCTTCTTCTGTTATTTGAATCACACACATAGTATTTATTGTCTCCCTGCATAGATTTTATGGAGTTTGGTCGTTGCATCCCCCTCTGTCTTTGCAAATCTCTGTAGAGAGCCGTTTGAATAATAATGAATGCTAGTTGAGTTAAATTATTGTATTTATCTCTCTCCTCCACGTATTGGTCCTTTTGTTACTGTTTTCCTTACTGTTCTACCTTTCCAAGTTCTTATCTCCTGAAAAGCTATTACATAGATGGGGAAAAAATGAATCTTAATTACATGTAATGAAAAGCTAGACTCAAAAATTTTAAGGTAGTGATAGTAATAGCAACCTAAGGCAACTGAGAATTTCATCACTTCCAGCTTTAGCCATTGTTAATACAATCGACAAGATTACTCCGAACGTACCTAGAGCTTTTAAAATAAGAATGTTGATCTTAAGAGCTCAGCTTTTTCCTGACCTAATGCCTGTCGTTATTGTTTATCTTCTTGACATAACTGGGCTTTAATATTCACTGCATTCAGATTACTCCTATAGATAAATGTGACTTGGAACCAACATGTAGATTTTTCCAGAAGAAACATGGACACATCTCATAACGCAGTATTTCCAAAGTTACCAGCTTACTTTTATTTTTATTAAAGCCAAATGTTCTTGCCAATTTTTAAAAAATGTGATGTTGGTATTTTTCATGTCTGTATTTATACATTCTACAAGTTGAGAAATGTCTTTTTCAAAAATCAGTGAAAATCTGAAAGTGTTATGTTTTTATCTTTCTACGTAACATATCTTTGTGCTAAACATGTTTTTTAGTCAATGAATAATAAATCTGTTGCTCAGCAAAGAAAAATAATTTGTTATATGTGGGATATTTTATTTCAGTTCCAAAGAAATATGTGAATATGAAGAAGGAAAATATTTTACTTAGGCTTAGCTTTGAAATTCCATAGTTTTATTGCTTTTTTTTATTCAAGATGTGACAGAAATTGGTGCTAGGATCCGCATGTGAATGACCTAGGAGGTGGAAAACAATGTATATTCCCTGGGCATTTCTTCACCGCATGCCAGGAAGAAGTCTATTGTTACCATTTTATCTTGTGCCGACTGTCCTTCTATGAAGACATGTGGGCTGTGGGAGGACTCCTCTAACATATCCTTCCCATAGCTACATGACGATTTAATCCTTGTCTTACTGGTGTGTCTAAATTTTCCACCTGAACCAATCTTTTTATCCCTCCAATGAGCTTCTGCTTTCTGCTTCAAATTCTTTGTTTTGTGATGGGTGCCATTGTTCAGCTGCTCCGTCCTACTTACCACCTATGTCTTCTTGAATTTCCCTTTTATCTGGTCAGTCACAAAGCAGTGTTATTTTTTTCTTTAAAATGTGTCAAGTTCTCTTCAGTACCCTAAATCACCTTTTGGCTAGACTGTCACTATTTCGTGCCTAATTACTTCAACAGGTCTTTTCCTGAGCATGGGATAAAATCTAAGTGCCTGAGCCTGTTATCTAAGGACTTCCATAATTTAACCTCAACCTGCTACACACCTGATCTCGCATGTCTTTCCAAGAAGACTTCTAACTCATACCTCAGGAAACCTGTGTCTTGGGCAGATGAATAATTTGATGTTCCTTCAAACTAATATTCTTTCAATTTTAATTCATTTTCTATTAATTTATTATACTCTACCATTAGTTAATATTCATTATTTTTCTATTTCTATTAATAATCATTAATACAAGGGGCACCTGGGTGGCCTCAGTCAGTTGAGTGTCTGACTTTGTCCCGGGTCATGATCTTGTGATTCATGAGTTCAAGTCCTACATTGGGCTCTGTGCTGACAGCTCAGAGCCTGGGGCCTACTTCAGATTCTGTGTCTCCCTCTCTCTCTGCCCCTCCCTAGCTCATGCTCTTTCTCTCTCTCTCTCTCTCTGCCTCAAAAATAAATAAAAACATTAAAAATTTTTAAATCAATATAATTGATGGAATATAATTAATATAACAGCATAATTATTATTAAATAACTTTATTAATTTTCAGTTACTAAAGTTGAACACTGCAACAAGTTCACCAACTAATTCACTTATAAAAAAAAAAAAAACAGTAAAAAAAAAATATTTCCCCAAGCAAATTATTTCTTACTTATTTGAAGTTTTGTTCTTTCTTCAGTTTTCTGTCACTATTTTTCAAAATGTATGTCTTTGGAAGTACATTAAAGGACTTAAACTTTAGATAGAACAAACCATTTCCTCCTATAAATATGCATGATATAGCTTCAGAGTTTCAGTGAATACTGACTACCAGAGGGCACTGACAAAAGTGATTGCCCATGATAGTCGCCTATTGAGGAGCACTTTGAGATTTGTTTGTTCTTTTGTTTTTTGCTGTTTCCACCCAAGTGTGCTGCCCTTTTTAGCCAATGTACTGGCCTTTTCAGGGTCAGTGTACAAGGCAGCCCCTCTTGATGCCATTCCCATTTCCAACTCCACTCTTTGCTTGTGGTGCTTCGCATATTAGACAAAACCTTCTCTTTTCTCCTTGTTCATCCCTCCGATGTTTATTTCGCATCTTCCCATCTCTCGGGAGATTTTTCCCTAGCCATTGCCAGCAGCCACTCTTATTTCTCAACACTCAGAGATGGTATTGCCTTAACACTCACTTGGCTTTCTACCCAGCAGTGTCTAATACTTTTTTTTCCTGTAATGTGTCCGTCATGAGTATAGCGTGTTGCACAGTGAGTAACCATTGCCACATATGTCCTTCTGGCATTTCTTCCGTTTTACCAAATAACAGCTGCTCAGAATTTTGGGTGCCATGCATTCTTTACACATCCTACTCGATGGTGTTGTACTGCAAAAAAAGCATGGCTTCTGGGTTCATGGGCCATCAATAAGCTAGCGCCCGGCCTGTTATTCAGTATCCCACTACATGCTTTTAACTTATTAATATTCACTACGGGTTTACTGCCTCCCGGCTCTGCCACTTACTAGCTTTGTATTCTTCAGCAAGTTACTTAAGCTTGCTGCTGCTTGGTACAGGGGAGATAATTATAGCCTTTTTCATACGTTGAGAATTAAACGGGTTGACACATATAAAGAAGCTAGATGAGTGCCGGCACAGAGTGGGGACTCAACAGATATTAGCTATTATTTTAACTTACAGGTGAACAAACTGGCTAATATGCCGTGAATCCCATAGCTACTAAGCAATAGGTTCCGGATGCAAGCTTGTGATAGTCTGCCCGCGAAGTTTCTCTTCCTTCCACTATTTCCAGCCTCCATGTTAATTAAAAATGGACATTAGAAGTAATAGCAATTTGTTCACTAAAATCTACAAGTTCTGCCTCAAACAGGAGTCCAGACACCTGCCACCATTTTCTTTGTGTCATCAAATGTGCTGGCTTTCTCATTTGGTTCCACTTTATTGATCAGCCTATTTTTTTAATTGCCTGTAGTCTGTGGTGGAGAATTATGATGGTAGATTTTGTTTTTGTCCTGGCTAGCCAGTACATAACTACATTCTGCTTCAAATTTATTATCGCCCCTTTCTACTGTGCTGCTTGCCACGTCCATGATCAGAATGTGCCACTGTTGTAAAAAACCTCTTGGATATCCATTTTTGGGCCTGTCATTAGTCTTTACAGCCTGGTGTTATTTTGTTTTTTTTTAATTCTTAATATATTTTTTTTAATTTATTTTTTTATATATGAAATTTATTGTCAAATTGGTTTCCATACAACACCCAGTGCTCATCCCAAAAGGTGCCCTCCTCAATACCCATCACCCACCCTCTCCTCCCTCCCACCCCCCATCAACCCTTAGTTTGTTCTCAGTTCTCAACAGTCTCTTATGCTTTGGCTCTCTCCCACTCTAACCTCTTTTTTTTTTTTCCTTCCCCTCCCCCATGGGTTCCTGTTAAGTTTCTCAGGATCCACATAAGAGTGAAACCATATGGTATCTGTCTTTCTCTGTATGGCTTATTTCACTTAGCATCACACTCTCCAGTTCCATCCACGTTGCTACAAAAGGCCATATTTCATTTTTGCTCATTGCCACGTAGTATTCCATAGTGTATATAAACCACAATTTCTTTATCCATTCATCAGTTGATGGACATTTAGGCTCTTTCCATAATTTGGCTATTGTTGAGAGTGCTGCTATGAACATTGGGGTACAAGTGCCCCTATGCATCAGTACTCCTGTATCCCTTGGGTAAATTCCTAGCAGTGCTATTGCTGGGTCATAGGGTAGGTCTATTTTTAATTTTCTGAGGAACCTCCACACTGCTTTCCAGAGCGGCTGCACCAATTTGCATTCCCACCAACAGTGCAAGAGGGTTCCCGTTTCTCCACATCCTCTCCAGCATCTATAGTCTCCTGATTTGTTCATTTTGGCCACTCTGACTGGCGTGAGGTGATATCTGAGTGTGGTTTTGATTTGTATTTCCCTGATAAGGAGCGACGCTGAACATCTTTCATGTGCCTGTTGGCCATCCGGATGTCTTCTTTAGAGAAGTGTCTATTCATGTTTTCTGCCCATTTCTTCACTGGGTTATTTGCTTTTCGGGTGTGGAGTTTGGTGAGCTCTTTATAGATTTTGGATACTAGCCCTTTGTCCGATATGTCATTTGCAAATATCTTTTCCCATTCCGTTGGTTGCCTTTTCGTTTTGTTGGTTGTTTCCTTTGCTGTGCAGAAGCTTTTTATCTTCATAAGGTCCCAGTAATTCACTTTTGCTTTTAATTCCCTTGCCTTTGGGGATGTGTCGAGTAAGAGATTGCTACGGCTGAGGTCAGAGAGGTCTTTTCCTGCTTTCTCCTCTAAGGTTTTGATGGTTTCCTATCTCACATTCAGGTCCTTTATCCATTTTGAGTTTATTTTTGTGAATGGTGTGAGAAAGTGGTCTAGTTTCAACCTTCTGCATGCTGCTGTCCAGTTCTCCCAGCACCATTTGTTAAAAAGACTGTCTTTTTTCCATTGGATGTTCTTTCCTGCTTTGTCAAAGATGAGTTGGCCATATGTTTGTGGGTCTAGTTCTGGGGTTTCTATTCTATTCCATTGGTCTATGTGTCTGTTTTTGTGCCAATACCATGCTGTCTTGAAGATGACAGCTTTGTAGTAGAGGCTAAAGTCTGGGATTGTGATGCCTCCTGCTTTGGTCGTCTTCTTCAAAATTACTTTGGCTATTCGGGGCCTTTTGTGGTTCCATATGAATTTTAGGATTGCTTGTTCTAGTTTCGAGAAGAATGCTGGTGCAATTTTGATTGGGATTGCATTGAATGTGTAGATAGCTTTGGGTAGTATTGACATTTTGACAATATTTATTCTTCCAATCCATGAGCAGGGAATGTCTTTCCATTTCTTTAAATCTTCTTCAATTACCTTCATAAGCTTTCTATAGTTTTCAGCATACAGATCCTTTACATCTTTGGTTAGATTTATTCCTAGGTATTTTATGTTTCTTGGTGCAATTGTGAATGGGATCAGTTTCTTTATTTGTCTTTCTGTTGCTTCATTGTTAGTGTATAAGAATGCAACTGATTTCTGTACATTGATTTGGTATCCTGCAACTTTGCTGAATTCATGTGTCAGTTCTAGCAGACTTTTGGTGGAGTCTGTCGGATTTTCCATGTATAATATCATGTCATCTGCAAAAAGCGAAAGCTTGACTTCATCTTTGCCAATTTGGATGCCTTTGATTTCCTTTTGTTGTCTGATTGCTGATGCTAGAACTTCCAGCACTATGTTAAACAACAGCGGTGAGAGTGGGCATCCCTGTTGTGTTCCTGATCTCAGGGAAAAAGCTCTCAGTTTTTCCCCATTGAGGATGATGTTAGCTGTGGGCTT